ATCCAGCTGAAATTTTTTTGGCTCCCTTTTAAACCTCCTTTATGATGTTTGAACCCCAAAAACGTTGTGACATCCGAATTTGGATGTCACATCGCAGACGGATGTTAGAAAGATAGCAACATTTTTGCGACATGATGTCACAAAGTCGGTAGGACGAATCTATATATATATATATATATATATATATATTTCACTATATCAGTTAAGGGTTATGAATAGTGATAGCATTCATTATAAATGGCCCATGAACATATTTTAAGCTGTTGAAAACTATTATTTTTTGTTAATTTATAGGTTTATTCCAACAACGCATCTGATCATCAGAAGGACGTCAGACGCATGCGCATTGAAAACATTCCAACGTATTTTCTGATTCGTAGTCGAATGAGTCGGCGATTGTCAAAACGATCAAAGCTTCATCGCTTGTACAATTTATTAGCACATGCGCACTCGTTCGTGTTATTTGTTTGTAATTGTTGGGATTTTAAGTTAGCTTGCGTTTCTATTTCTTTCAATTGAAATGAATATTTTTTTTTATCTTGGGTACAGTTTTTTTATGTAAAATAAGTACTTATTTTTAATAAAAATAAACACCTTAAGGTTTCAAAATTATACATTCATAAAGCTAAATAAATGTAGTTTGTTGTATTTTAAATAATGTTTAAAATCGCTGATTAAACAACGGACGAATAAATGGACTGACATACGCAGTGATTAGTTTACGAATGCATCCATGCACGCGTCAGAGACACATCAGAAATGAGCTGTTGGAACAAACCTTATATTAAGGTGTGGTTTTTAAGGGTTGAAAACATAAATTATGTTCAATATTATAAAAGATCCCACTATACACGAAAATGTTAAATTAATGAAAACTTTACACCACATTGTTACATTACTGCGATGGATGTATACTGCAATAGTGAGACCAATCATCACTTACGGGGCTATAGCCTGGAGTAACAGAACTAGTTTAGTTACTACGAGAGCTAATATCTCAAAAGTACAAAGACTAGCCTGTGTTTGCATTACTGGTGCAATGAGAACCTGTCCTACGGCCGCAATGGAGGTGATCTTAAACCTCACCCCTCTACATTTGATGATAGAGAATGTGGCAAAAAGGACACGATATAGAATGATCAGGAGCGGAGTAATCAGACGAAAGTCTACTTCCTTCAGGACTAAAGATACCTGGGACATGCCCCAGGATGAAATGCAAAAGAAGTACAGTTTTGTGAAAAACTTCAAAACCACAGAGCTGGGCTGCAAGAAAGAATGGAGCCAAGAATCCATCGCGCTTGCAACCGAAAGACGTGCTATTCAGTGGTACACGGACGGTTCCAAAACCATAGAAGGAACTGGAATAGGAGTGTATGGGCCGAGAACCAAGCACTCCGAAAGCTTGGGAAAATACCCAAGCATCTTCCAGGCGGAAATTCACGCCATCGAGAAGTGTATCCAGTTTAACATCGAGAGAAACTATCATAGACAAGAGATTATCATCATGTCCGATAGTCAAGCAGCCATCAAAGTGCTGAGTTCCTACGTAATCAGCTCGAAAATGGTATGGAGATGCCTAGAACAATTGAATGAGCTAGGCGAGAAAAATAGAGTTACTCTCACTTGGGTCCCGGGACATAACGGGGTACAGGGTAACGAGATTGCAGATAGTCTTGCAAGGAAAGGGGCTCAAACACCCTTTGTAGGACCTGAGCCGTTCTGCGGTATCAGCAGTAACATAATATTAGAAGAGATTAAAAAAGAATTGGGTAGTAGAAGAACCGATAATTGGAACAATCTCTTGGGGCTGAGACAGGCCAAGATACTTCTGGGTAAATATAACCAAAAAAGATCGGAAGCCTGCATCTGCCTGAGCAAGAACAGGCTACGTATTGTAACAGGGATCCTTACCGGGCACTGCCGACTAAAAGGACACCTAAGTAAACTGAGAGTAGTAGAGGATAGTGAGTGCAGATTCTATGAGGAGGAGGACGAAACCTCCATTCACATCCTAACTGAATGTGTAGCACTCCAGAATCCAAGGGCACTATATCTAGGAGGATATCAAATAGAAGAGGGAGACTTACCTAACTTGAAGCCACTTCAAATCCTACACTTCCTTGAGAAAATAGGATTGGAAGGGTCGCTATAGGCATTGAGACATTTCCTTAGTGCAGTGGCGACAGAAGGGGCACAATAGATATTTTAGGTCGCAGTGTATTAACACCCCATTATCAACATAACATACATTGTAACTTTAATTTTTACTCTTGTTTTCATCTATAGGACGGACTCACAACCGTCTAAGCCCAGAGTAGGGACGTTTACTTTTGTGATGAAACAATGTAGACGTTTCAGTGATATTATAGCGCTAACTTGTTGTTATTCAGCGTTACTGGAAGTTCCCAAACATCATTTTTAAATTTTAACAAACCAGATGTGACATTCCTTTTATATCCAAGAAAGTCTTTTTACTTCTTGTAGATGTTATAAAGCCCATAAAATAAAATCATATTAATGAACCAAATGTGACGTTCCAAATATGATACAATTCATACTTTCTTATTTTTATCTGTCTTTTAAATTTTATATCGACTTATGTTATGTAAATATTTTATATATTTCATCTATATAAAACAGAATAGAACAAATGTCTTCTAACTTGAAGTTAAAAGCTTGGAAGACAAAGTTAAACTTCTAATTCCAGGAAATTTTATCAACATAATATCGAAAGTAAAAGTAAGAACTTTGATTAAATACTTAATATCGGGCAACAGACCGCTCCATAATATAGTACCTGCCGGTTACGTAAGTACTAAGCTATCATTGGTATCTCCAACGCGGGACGAACTGATAGGTCTTTGATGTAAAGACTAAAGATAACCATCTTAAAGATGTGTAACTTGTACACATTACTGTGCTGACCTGTATACAATATTATTGTGAGTTATATAAATTAACATCGTATAAATGTTTTTCACAAGTAACTAAAAAGAAGTACACAAGCTGTTTATGTAACTGCAAATTCAAGTATTCCAGCTTATATAATACTTCATTTGCCAGGAATGTTAATGAATATGATGTTAAAATTTAAACATCTATGGGATATTTTAGTACCGTTTTAAAAATATATCAAGAAAAGTCTCTATGAGAAACATTACAAAAAAGACTGGTAATGTTTCATGTTTAGTGGGATATTATATTTGAACATGATTTTAATCCAAGCAACGAATAAAAATATGGTTGTAAAATTTTTCGTCGAAAAGGGGTAGTTCTCAATAGGGGTGGGCAAAATATTCGATTAATCTAATAATAATCAATTAATCTAAAAATAATCTATTTGTTTTTAATCGATTATTTTCGATTAATCGAGTATTTTCGATTAATCGATTACTTTAGATTAATCGATTACTTTCGATTAATCGAATATTTTCGAATAATCTATTTTTTATTTATCGATTATTTTCGATTAATCAATGTTACTTTTGATTATTTTCGATTAATTGATTATTTTTGATTATTTTGAATTTATTGAATATTTTAGATTAATCGATTACTTCCGATTGATCGATTACTTTCGATTGATCGATTATTTTCGATTAATCGAATATTTTTTATTTATAGATTATTTTCGATTAATTGTTGATTTTTAATTTATTCATTATTTTCGATTAATATTTTCGAATTATGGATTATTTTAGATTAATTGATTATTTTTAATTAATCGATTATTTTTAATTTATTATTTTCGATTAATCGATTATTTTTAATTTATTGTTTTAGATTAATCGATTGTGTTAGATTAATCGATTGTTTTAGATTAATCGATTACTTTCGATTGATTAATCGAATATTTTCGAATTATGGATTATTTTCGATTAAATGTTTATTTTTAATTTATCCATTATTTTAGATTATTCGATTTTATCGATTATTTACGATTAATCGTTTATTTTCAATTATTTTTATATTATCGATTATTTTTGATTACTTTCGAATGATCGATTATTTTTAATTTATCGAACATTTTAGATTAATCAATGTTACTTTTGATTATTTTCGATTAATTGATTATTTTTAATTGACCAATTAATTTTAATTTATCGATTATTTTCGATTAATTGATTACTTTCGATTATTTTTAATTTATCCAATATTTTCGATTAGTCAATGTTACTTTTGATTAATTATTTTTAATTAATCGATTATTTTTAATTTATTATTTTAGATTAATCGATTACTTTCGACTGATCGATTATTTTCGAATTATGGATTATTTTCGATTGTTTATTTTTAATTTAACCATTATTTTCGATTATTCGATTACTTTCGATTGATCGATTATTTTCGATTAATTGAATATTTTCGAATTATGGATTATTTTCGATTAATCGAATATTTTCGAATTATGGATTATTTTCGATTAAATGTTTATTTTTAATGTATCCATTATTTTCGATTAATCGTTTATTTACGATTAATTGTTTATTTTCGATTAATCGATTACTTTCGATTTTTAGATTATTTTCGATTAATCGATTTTTAATTATTCGATTATTTTTATCGGTTAATCCAATATTTTTGATTATTCGATTATTTTTAATATATCGATTATTTTCGATTAATCGAAAATAATCGATTAATCCAAAAAATCGATTATTTATTTTAATAATCGCCCAGTCTTTGTTTTCAATCCCTAAAATTAGAAAGCGAACTTCAGGATCATATAATTTTAAAGATAAGCTTAATTATAAATTGTCATCCAAATCGATGTAGTCCCAAAGAATTCTGAGATAAAGGCCTATTTTTACCATCAAACGCTGGCCTAAATAGTTAATAGTTGGCAAGTAGAATTTGTGGCAAACGTACATAAAATATTACCTTATTTTATACTACACTAAAATCTTTATTATGGAATCGTCTGGCAAAATATCTACGCCTATGAATTGAGATGTTATATCCCTACTTTTACTGCACCCCCATTTTCTCTATAGTTTTACCTTCTTTCCATAAATTGTTTCTCTCCCTTCTTATATAATCGACCAAATTCTTATTAACTTCGGGCAGTAACGTTTTGAAAATCTTAACAATCTGGTCGGTTTTCGTGGCCTGTCTTTGTCCTATAAGACCCTTCCGATCGTGCCCCTTCCTTCTTATATCCGAATGCGTATCAAAAGCCTCAACGAACCTTGACCTCAACAGGTAGTAGAAAATCTGCAAATCTTCAGCAGTAGGATTGTGCACGGATTTCAAATAACTGAAAAAAGTTTTTTCTTCATCGGTATTCAAAGATTTGTACAGAACTAGATGTAGAGCGTCGTTTTTCGTGCATTCTTGGAACAAATGAGTCAATAACTTATCACCGTTATTGTTTTGGTGTTGCTTCTTAAAATAAAAAGCTTCATCGAACATTTTATTAGCTATGAACAAACTAATGGCCGTCAAAACGTCTTTTTCATCCGAAATTGGCGGTTTTCTAATCTTCATGTACAACAAAGCGAAATTAGGTTGTTTGTTGATCAACAGCGACCTCATTGCTATAGTGTGGTGCCAAGGTTGAAGATCCTCGCCCAATACGAAAGGATCTATGAGCTGATCCATCGCTGTTGTGAAATCTCCGTGATCGAGCTGCCAAAAAGCTTGAGTTATTTTTATTAGACTTGGAGATACTTTGAAAACCGCTGGGAATTTTATCAAATGAGTTACCACCGATGAATACCTGCAATAATAGTAAAATATCGGAATACTAACTACAAAAAATAAAATAACGACTTACCTACTCTGATCGAGGGCCATAGCTAAATCCAAAAACAAATAAATAACCAACGAATGCTTGTGACTTATACTGGCCCCGTCCACCAAGTAAGTTCTTACTAAAGACTGCAATGACGGGGGTGGATACAAACCGTTACCTCCATCTTCCTGCCACAAATTCAATAATTTGCTACCGCCGCACTTCCTATTTACCAAATTATCTATAAACAATAAGCTCTCGCTGGATTTAAACGATTCTTTGGTCATCATACAGAGCTCGGCGCGTTTCTCGATATAGTATTCGGTCAGTTCTTGAACGGGATAGGGTGCGCTGATCCTTTCCGAATTATCGGGACGGGGGTACGTCGAGGGGTGGCATTCAGGAAGCAGCCCCACATTCACGAGCCATTGGATAACCTTCAAAACGAAATTAGCAGTTAACACATAGTCAGAGTCGAAATAAAATTAGGCATTCCAAACAAATGAATTGCCAGGTGGAAGGTTTGGTATATCTAAGGGTTGCGGCATATGATGTATTCTATCTACTATACGTAAAATCATGAATAATGGATTACATTAAAATATTTTATGTCAAACAATAAAAATAATATTTAAAAACACCGCTTATACATTTCTTCATAAATTGGCAGACTTGGCGACTACTATTTCGAATAAAAATAGCGTCCAAGGTGCAAGACTATGTCGTTACCCCCTTAGATATACAAGAACTTTCCACTGGCACCTATTAAGCATTCCAAACAAAATGGCTACCAGTGGGTTTTGACAGGTTATGATATAGAAAAATTATGGCAACCCTGTAGGCCTGGTGATTTGACAAGGTCAATGAAATAGATCGCTACATAGATTGGTCATCCATATTTCTTAAAATAAACATAAGCTTATGCCTGTAGGTAATTATTTTTTTACTATATTCAAAGGCTAAATATTGGTTTGTAAACACATTTTTGCAAAATCGATTCTGATTAAAGAGCACTTGCAAGACAAAATGACCGCTCGTAAACGACCCGCTTTGAGCAATCTATATAACTATATATGTATCATTGACCCTGTCAATCACAACAGGTTCACAGGGTTGTCATATCTAAATGTTAGTTCCCACTTGTCAGCAGTTTGACAGGTCGTTGAAAAGCCTAATTGTTTGACAGGTCGTTGGAATGCTTAATTAGTGCGCTCGTTTGATTGTGACGTCATATATCTAAACATGAAGTTAGATATGAAACAAAATTTGACGTAATGGCATTGCTTACAGTATGGAGTACTAAAGGGAAGAAATCGAAAACGGTGTTGCCAGATTCTCCACGAAGAAACAAATTTCATCTGTCAGCATTTTTAAATATTTTATGAATGAGTCTCACAAGTTAGAATGACTGTTTTAATTAGTATTTTTAATTTAAATATTTCTTAACCAGCTGACCCGGTCCAGATTCCCTGGAATTTCGCAAATATCAATAATTAAAAGTGAATAACAGTTTTCATTACTCGAGAGAAATTATTTCATGGGATACCTGGCAAACATTTTTTTTAACTTTATATTCTATTTTTATTAATTTTTAATTCCCATGTCCCCACTTTCGCTCTCTATCCTCTTTCCATATTCCCTCCCTCCAGATTCCCCTGCCCCTTCATTCCCCCCACTTCCATATTCCCCTCAAAAATAGATAAAAAGATTCCATAACATACTAAAAATATTCAAATAGTTCTAAGTGCCAAACGCCAAGCAATTCATTTATTGAAGTAGGATAAACAAGGCGAATGTATATGTGTGAATATAGAGGGTGATTCATTAAGGGTGGCGATCGGACGTATCTCAAAATATCTTAAAGTAGTTTTTTTTTAAAGAAACGCAAAAAACAGGCCGATTTTTATTACAAGGGGGACACCTTTCTATAATATCCTCAACTGTCATATGAGATTCCTCTCCCCTAGTGAAGAATTCAGCAATGTGACTGTTCATCGCGTTCCATTTAGTTTTAGCGCCCTCTAGCGGGATAAAAATTATTACCCATGTGATATTTCATTTGAAAGCTAATTTTATTAGTAATTTATTACACTACGTCATATTGTTAACTAAATCAAAAATGAAATTAAAAGGAAAAAATAATGCATTATTACTAAATTAATTTAGTTGCAAGTGCAATATGGAGATATCTAGGTTAATATTATGTGGTGCATTGGATTACTAATAAAATTAGCTTTCATATTACCATAGGTAATCATTTTTAATCCCGCTAGAGGGCGCTAAAATTAAAAGGGACGCAATGAACAGTCATATTGCTGAAATCCTCATAGAAGTACCTTTCCGACGATGTGTCATACTTGGTACTTTCCCTTATATAAATTGTATTGGTTAGATTGACGTAGGGGAGAGGAATGACATATGACAGTTGAGAATAATATAGAAAGGTGTCCTGCTTGAAATAAAAATCGACCTGTTTTCACGTTTCTTTCAAGAATTTCACTTCCAGATATTCTGAGATACAGCCTTATTGAATCACCCTGTATGTCTAAAAATCTTATTTAACTCATAACTTTTTTCCATGTTTTTGGTACTTAGACCCGTTAGAAGTTAAAACCTTTAATTATTAATAAATCCACCCAGGAAATAATTCTCCAGAATGCCGAAAGTCTTTTTTAAAAAATTTATTTTACTTTTAAATTACAAAAAAAATATTGCTACGATGTTAATCGCATAAAAGCTAACAATAATCTGGTTTTACATTATCATAAAACAACCGAACAAGTGTTGTAATCCGATACGGCACATAACTGAGTTTCTAAGGTATCAGCGTTATTCTTAGAATTCTAGGGTTGAATGGTGACATATTTCCTCCCCTCGAAGTTTCAAATCCAGAGAGTTAACGAGGGATTTGAACCTCAGCAAGTTCTTGAGTTTTCTGGTTATCCTGGACTTTTCTATTGGCACATTTTTTGAAACACACAAAACCGATTAAAATAGTACATAATATATAAATGAGAATTGTCCAAATGCTTGGTATGTGTGAAATTGCATGATACGTTGATTTCGATTGATTTTTGATGATATTATTTTTTATTAATTGTAAATCTCTAGAGCTTATATCTTCTAACTTGAAGTGAAAGTCCAATTTTGGCAGGTTAACATCGCTAGGAGATTCTACAGCTGGGAATAATACAGGTTGACTTAAATTTGTGAAATTTTCTCGGTTAGTTATATTTTTGAAACTGCTGATAATTTGGCAACCAATTGGAATTTCGACAATGAATGTCCCTTTAAGTTTTATAACTTCTTCTTGATTATGGCAGTGGATTTTTATGATTTCTTCTTCTGGCAAGGTGATGGACCATTGATTAGTATGTTCAAATTTTGTGACGGTGGAGTGCTGTATAGGAATGATCGTTTGTTGACAAGTAGATGTATTTTTCAGGCTTAGTAGTTGGATCTCACAGGGATTGGTGTCTTGGATTTCTTGTATCTCCAGATCGTTACAGAAGTATATTTTTGGTAAGATTTTCTTGCAATGGTCATATGTATAAGCGTAGTACAACTTATTTATAACTAAGTATTTATTTTCAGGTAAAATTACCTTGAACTGACTCTTTTCAAGAATGGGAATTGGGTATATGTGATATAGATCAAAATCAATAGAAGAAGTTATTGGAATATGAAGAATATATACAATTCGATTATTTGATATATAACTTTCAATTTTTACCAATTGTTCTATTATCAAAGTATTTTCTAATGTAATTTTCAGAGGTAGTTTATTTTGTGTTAATTCCTTTTGTATATATTTTAATTCTCTCGAAAAGTCAACTGCACTAATTATACTTGGGTGCATTTTTCCTAATTTGCTAAACGTTATTGAACTTTCAATATCTTGAATTATTGAATAAATTATATTATACAAACCAATCATTTGACTGATAATGTCTTTAATGTACAATGAATGTTCAGGTAATCCGTCAATAAATGAACCAATATGATTTATTTTTTCTTCTAACAGTTTTTCGTTATGTATTATTTTTTGAATGGTGTTGTTGAAATTATTGATCAGTTGTAACGATAAAGAATTCTGATTTTTCACACTAGATGCTAAATTTTCTTGATCATTTTGTAATTGTTCGATTAACCTATCGTAACGTTCGCCATCGTTAGCGTCTAAGTTTCCTGTAATTGTTTTAAAAATAGATCCTAGTCCGTTTATAAGGCCGCGTTTGAGTCTGTTTGGATGTGGTATTATATTTAATAATTGATATTCTATCTTTTCTTCCAAAAATCCTAAAATTTTTAGATAACTCGAACTTTCTTTTAAATACGTTGTATTCATATGAATATTATGTAAAAGATATGTTAATTTTGAAGACTGAATTTTCAATTTATTGATTTCTATTATTAGGGGTTCTAGATCATAATAATGAATTAACTTATAATAATATTCATTGACTTTTGCTGTTCCAAGTTTTACTGGGATTATGCCAGGATTATCGGATACATTTCGTATTTCTATTCTTTCCATGATTCCGAAGATACCTGGGAAACTAAAAAGATAATACTGGTTAATTTTCAAAACTAAAGGTATTTTTAAGGAACGTTTTATATTGTTCATGTGTATTTCGGGTTGAGTTTTAGTGGATAAAGTTTTGTTTTTATTGTTTAATTTCTTTATATGTGTTAATTTCTTGTGAAAAATGTCGCCTTCGTGAATTTTTATAAATATTTTATGATCCTGTTCAAATATTTTCGGGAGATTTCGTATTTTGTTTACGTTTTGTATGCGCTTTTCTTTTTTCTTAATTAAGTTTTCTTTAATTTTGCAATAGAGTAATTTAGAGTGTTCTCTAGGATCATTTACACAATCGTTAATGAATATTTGAATTGATAATTTTATGAACAGCCAATATTTGTCTTTTGTTCTTTGATGGGTTTCCTCAATTCCTTTATGATTGGATTTACCTTCGTGATAATTTTGGATTAATTTATTTATAATTATTTTCTCGGTAATATGAATTAGTTTGTTGGTACATTTTTTCAATTCCAAAAATGAGTATTTAAAATATTTTTGTAGGGTTACTAAAAACGGTTCAAATAACTCGGCAATTTTGAAATATAAATAGTACTGTGAATCGGGATTAATGTAGTTTTTTATAAAGTCAATGATATCACGTTCAAATTTATTCTGTGGTACTTGTAAATTTATAGGTTTCTTCTTTTCAAACAATATTTTTATTTTGGAATTAGCAGGGGAAAGTATTGAAATAATTATTTTTTTTGAATCATAGTTAACAGCTGTATCTGTAACAGGTATTTCAAAGATAGAAACTTTTACAGTATTGGAATGTACTGTGTGATTGTTGCTGTCGTCGCTTAGTTCATCATTATCGATTATAAATTTATTTTGAGGTTCAATATCAGGTTG